TCGGAGAGGATACCGGGGGATAAGTGGAGAGGATACCGGTTGATAAAAGGAGAAGATTCCGAGGGATAAGTGCGGAGAATATCTGGAGATAAATGGAGAGGATATCGGCGATAGGTGGAGAGGATACCGGGAGATAAGTGGAGAGGATACCGGGGGATAAGTGGAGAGGATATCGGGGATAGGTGGAGAGGATACCGGGAGATAAGTGGAGAGGATACCGGGAGATAAGTGGAGAGGATATCGGGGATAAATGGAGATGATTCCGGGGATTAGTGGAGAGGATACCGGGAGATCAGTGGAGAGGATACCGGGGGATAAATGGAGAGGTTACCGGGGATTAATGGAGAGGATACCGGGGGAGTAGTGGAGAGGGTACCGGGGGATAAGTGGAGAGGATACCGGGGGATAAGTGGAGAGGATACCGGGGGATAAGTGGAGAGGATACCGTGGGATAAGTGGAGAGGATACCGGNGAGATAAATGGAGAGGATATCGGCGATAGGTGGCGAGGATACCGGGAGATAGGTGGAGAGGATACCGTGGGATAAGTGGAGAGGATATCGGGGATAAGTAGAGAGGATACCGGGGATAGGTGGAGAGGATACCGGGGGATAAGTTGAGAGGATGCCGTGGTATAAGTGGAGAGGATACCGGGGATAGGTGTAGAGGATACCGTGGGATAAGTGGAGAGGATATCGGGGATAAGTAGAGAGGATACCGGGGATAGGTGGAGAGGAAACCGGGGGATAAGTTGAGAGGATACCGGGGGATAAGTGGAGAGGATACCGAGGGATTAATTGACAGGATACCGGTAGATAAGTGGAGAGGGTACAGGGGGTTAAGTGAAGAGGATATCGGGGAGAGGTATAGAGGATACCGGGGGATAAGTGTAGAGGATACCAGGGGATAAATGGAGAGGATACCGTGGGATAAGTGGAGAGGATATCGGGGATAGGTGGTGAGGATATCGGGGATAAGTGGAGAGGATACCGGGGGAGTAGTGGAGAGGATACCGGGGGATAAGTGGAGATAAGTGGAGAGGAGACCGAGGGATAAGTGGAGTGGATGTTGTTTCCGCCCGGATTCTGGGCTATAAATGGATTTTTTTTAAAATACTGGCTTCTTTAGACAATTTTGCAAAAAAAAAAGCTTTAATTGAAAACATACAAGTGTTCATTGTAGCGAGTTTGTATAAATATCAAGTTGTTAACGTTATACACCAAATTTTCCAAAGGATACGTCATTTAGTCATGACATTTTTAGAGATTATTTTGAATCTGTTTCTTATTCACAAACAAGGGTCCTATTGTTCGTTCAGACATTGAAAGGAACGCCTTAATGCGTCATCGTTAAACATCATATGTAAGCCCCTTTAATATCTCAGTGAAGAAAACAAAGACGTAACGCTGTGAGCATTGTCTAAAGTGTACGTCATCTGCTGATAAAACAGCTGTTATCTGTGGGTATACAGCCAGTGAGGTATAACGGATCATATCGGCGTCACCCTAAAGTAATTTCAGGGTACCCACTTCCGTCCATTAACGTTATATGTTACATTGCACGATAAAATGGCTTGTCTGGCGAAAATTCTTGAGGTGTTTAAAATACTTAAATAGAGAAATGTGGGAATAGAGAGGGTATTTCGATATTTGCCAGGCATTCAAAGAAACTTACACAACTTTTATAATGATAACAACTAACTACCGCAGAGCAACCAAATAGCGTTTTCCCCAATTACTTTTTACATGAAGATATATACAGAAAGGTACATAAAATATTGAAGCAACCATAAGATGATATACCGTAGAATTACTCCAATGATGACGTACCTTTGTAATGATTTATCAAAATGAGCAACGATTCAACGTTCGTTTTTGACAACCTTGTTTAAAAGATGAGAAAATCGCATCGAAGGATAACAGCACAACACTAAACACGAACACAAAAAACTAGATATGGTAAAGGTATCAACGATGTTTCACAATTAGGATAAGGATAAAAACTTTATGTATAAGAAATACAAAATATTTATAAGATACATCCTTTCACAACATCATTAATGAAACATTGAATCATAGTAGCAAAGGTACAATAAGGTAAACAACATAGTTTATCAATCATACATTGTAGTAGCAAAGATACAATAAGGTAAACTGCACAGTTTATCAATCATAATAGCAAAGGTACAATAAGGTAAACAGCACAGTTTATCAATCATAGTAGCAGAGGTACAATAAGGTAAACAACACAGTTAATCAATCATAGTAGCAAAGGTAAAATAAGATAAACAGCACAGTTTATCAATGATAGTAGCAAAGGTACAATAAGGTAAACAGCACTGTTTACCAATCATAGTAGCAAAGGTACAATAAGGTAAACAACATAGTTTATCAATTATAGTAGCAAAGGTACAATAAGGTTAACAACAGAGTTTATCAATCATAATAGCAAAGGTACAAAAAGGTAAACAACATAGTTTATCAATCATAGTAGCAAAGGTACAATAATGTAAACAGCACAGTTTATCAATCATAGTAGCAAAGGTAAAATAAGATAAACAGCACAGTTTATCAATCATAGTAGCAAAGGTACAATAAGGTAAACAACATAGTTTATCAATCATAGTAGCAAAGGTACAATAAGGTTAACAACAGAGTTTATCAATCATAGTAGCAAAGGTACAAAAAGGTAAACAACATAGTTTATCAATCATAGTAGCAAAGGTACAATAAGGTAAACAGCACAGTTTACCAATCATAGTAGCAAAGGTACAATAAGGTAAACAACACAGTTTATCAATCATAGTAGCAAAGGTACAATAAGGTTAACAACACAGTTTATCAATCATAGTAGCAAAGGTATAAAAAGGTAAACAACATAGTTTATCAATCATAGTAGCAAAGGTACAAAAAGGTAAACAACACAGTTTATCAATCATAGTAGCAAAGGTACAATAAGGTAAACAACACAGTTTATCAATCATAGCAGCAAATGTACAATAAGGTAAACAGCACAGTTTATCAATCATAGTAGCAAAGGTACAATAAGGTAAACAACACAGTTTATCAATCATAGTAGCAAAGGTACAATAAGGTAACCAGCATAGTTTATCAATCATAGTAGCAAAGGTAAAATAAGGTAAACAGCACAGTTTATCAATTATAGTAGCAAAGGTAAAATAAGGCAACCGGCACATTTTATCAATCAAAGTAGCAAAGGTACAATAAGGTAACCAGCACAGTTTATCAATCATAGTAGCAAAGGTAAAATAAGGTAAACAGCACAGTTTATCAATACTAGTAGCAAAGGTAAACAGCACAGTTTATCAATCATAGTAGCAAAGGAAAAATCAGGTAAATAGCACGGTTTAGGTAGTTACATTACATATATGCCTTTCGTCTATTATTACTATAATATTCGGATCTCTTTAAAAGAAACCAGACCAAAGTTATAAATAGAAATACCAAACATTTCATTACGAGATGGAATGGGCTATTAGCTTACAACAATCACAAGGACATGTTGATAGCCACGTTAACAGTAGTTATATCGTCCACACAGCTCGTAGTTATCGCCCGTCTACCGCTCTCTCTGCCTTTGTCGTTGTAAGGTAAACGCGACTTTAATTAAAGACACGAGACACGTGAGATGTTACTTGACACAAGCAGGTTCTATCTTAATTCGGCGATATTAATAGCGGAGATTTGCCCATTCCTTGGCTCCCGTCTGTTCGTTAAAAGCCCAATTGGAGTTTTGTTTTCCTTTCAGCTGCTTTTCATACAATTGTCTTACACCAGTAGGGCCAATGTTCTATGGAGTTTATATATATACTCTCTACAAGTCAGGATAGGTTAATAACACATGGTTGTGTTGTTGTCCTGTCAACATAAATTAACATTTCCTCTGATGAATCGATGAAGATACGTCCCTTGATAGCGACTAAAGAAGTCCCCATGGCTCCGAGACCGTGTAACAGTTTGTATAGTTTGACCTATCCTGGCTTGTACAGGGTAATATTTACATTATACATTTTACTGTAGGGACACAACAGTCTTCGTTTCTTGGAGGTTAATTCTTGTTTCACTAAGACGAAGTTGTACCTTTATTTTGATATATTTATTTATTTTCTACATATTTATTTATTTTCTGTTTCAGAAAATTTTCGGCGAATTAGACACCGACAAAAACAACAAAATATCGAAAAATGAATTTTCGAAAGCGATGTCACGAGTTCCCAGAGTCGACTTCAAGTAAGATTGTAACGTTTCTATTTCAAGTAATGCCTTTAGGATTAAAATAATACAAACTAAAGTAATGCCTTCTCATCTATCGTTTATGAACTCTGTCGGGCTATCTGTCTGCGTCAGGCAAGAGCTTGCATACTGTCAAGTTCAAGTAGGGGTATGTTTTTGACAACTTTACGGAAGGGCTGAAAATCTCTCTAAAACAAGAAGGATGTGTTATATACGTTAATAGAGAAAGGGGTTTTAAGCTGTCTTCAAATATTGCTATGTCATATGTATATGTACTTCATGTAGGAGCTTGTAATGTGTCCCAATGAAATAACGGGCTTGCGCACAGTCTATCAACCTTATATAAGGACAGGTTTGATATCTATCACAGTCTATCTACCTTAGGTAAGGACATGTTTGATATCTATCACAGTCTATCTTCCTTAGGTAAGGACAGGTTTGATATTTATCACAGTCTATCAACCTTAAGTAAGGACAGGTTTGATATCTATCACAGCCTATCTACCTTAAGTAAGGACAGGTTTGATATCTTTCACAGTCTATCTTCCTTAGGTAAGGACAGGTTTGTTATCTATCACAGTCTATCTACCTGAGGTAAGGACAGGTTTGATAACTATCACAGTCTATCTACCTTAGGTAAGGTCAGGTTTGATATCTATCACAGTCTACCAACCTTAGGTAAGGACAGGTTTGATATCTATAACTGTCTATCAACCTTAGATAAGGACAGGTTCGATATATATCACAGTCTATCAACCTTAGGTAAGGACAGGTTTGATATCTATCACAGTCTATCAACCTTAGATAAGGACAGGTTTGATATATATCACAGTCTATCAACCTTAGGTAAGGACAGGTTTGATATCTATCACAGTCTATCTACCTGAGGTAAGGACAGGTTTGATATCTATTCCAGTCTATCTACCTTAGGTAAGGACAGGTTTGATATCTATCACAGTCTATCAACCTTAGGTAAGGACAGGTTTGATATATATCACAGTCTATCTACCTTAGGTAAGGACAGGTTTGATATCTATCACAGTCTATCTACCTTAGGTAAGGACAGGTTTGATATCTATCACAGTCTATCTACCTTAGGTAAGGACAGGTTTGATATCTATCACAGTCTATCTACCTTAGGTAAGGACAGGTTTGATATCTATCACAGTCTATCTACCTTAGGTAAGGACAGGTTTGATATCTATCACAGTCTATCTACCTTAGGTAAGGACAGGTTTGATATCTATCACAGTCTATCTACCTTAGGTAAGGACAGGTTTGATATCTATCACAGTCTATCTACCTTAGGTAAGGACAGGTTTGATATCTATCACAGTCTATCTACCTTAGGTAAGGACAGGTTTGATATCTATCACAGTCTATCTACCTTAGGTAAGGACAGGTTTGATATCTATCACAGTCTATCTACCTGAGGTAAGGACAGGTTTGATATCTATTCCAGTCTATCTACCTTAGGTATAGACAGGTTTGATATCTATCACAGTCTATCAACCTTAGGTAAGGACAGGTTTGATATCTATCACAGTCCATCAACCTTAAGTAAGGACAGGTTTGATATCTATCACAGCCTATCTACCTTAAGTAAGGACAGGTTTGATATCTATCACAGTCTATCTACCTTAGGTAAGGACAGGTTTGATATCTATCACAGTCTATCTACCTTAGGTAAGGACAGGTTTGATATCTATCACAGGTAGGGTACGCATATATGTACATTAACTAAAAGCTTTGACATTGACTGTTTCAAGTAAAGGCTTGTATTCTGTGTGTTTCAAGCATGAATTTGACCTCTATTAATCTCAAGTAAGAAATGGGAATCTGTCTTTTTCAAGGAAGAGTTTTTACTGTCTGTTTTGGGCAAAAGCTTCTTATCTGTCAACTTAAAGTGAGGTCCTGCAATCTGCTTTATTCAAGCAAGTGCTCCGAGATTCCAATCTGCCTGTTTCAAGCAAGTGCTCCAAGATTCCAATCTGCCTGTTTCAAGCAAGGGCTCCAAGATTCCAATCTGCCTGTTTCAAGCAAGGGCTCCAAGATTCCAATCTGCTTATTTCAAGAAAAAGCTTGCAGTCAGTTTATATTATGAACGAGCTTTTCTTCTGTTCACTAAGTAATAACTTGCTGCCTGTTTACTTCAAGGACTCACACAACTAAATCATTTACTATGTAATTTATTACGAAGCTTTTGATCTAAAAGCTTTAATATTTGAAGTTCGACACTAGTGACAACTGTCTAGATTCATAGATACATACCTGACAAAGGCTTCAAATGGCATTTTATTTGCGTGTTTAGAGGCATATCAGAGCGTTACAGGCGTCTGCTGTAGACAACCGGAAGTTTACAAGCCAAACCGGTGTAGTTGGACGGGAACACCGCCTGACTTTTGACCCCATATAAATCTGCCATCATTTCTTAAAATCTACTAAAAGTTTACGTTTTTCTAAAGTTAAATATCTGTAGATTTTATTCAATGTAAAATATGTCAACAATTACCCATTGAAATTACTCAGAGGCACTGTATTTAACCGGATTTTTTTTAGGTAGGGATAACAATCGATTAAGTTGCGTGAGTCCTTCAAGTAGGGGTGTGCATTATACCTATTTCAAGTAAAACCTCATGATTTGACCACTCAAATATTTATTAATTATGAGCTTTTATACTCGCAACTTCACAATAAGTACTTCGTAATAGCTTGGGGGCTATTTACCTTACATAAGGGGTTATACTATGTGTGTCAGGGTGGGTATAGTAAGTGTATGTGAGGGTGTATAAACTAGACATGTCAGTAGATCTTTATGTCTACCTGTATATAAACTAGACATGTCAGTAGACGTTTATGTCTAACTGTATATAAACTAGACATGTCAGTAGACGTTTATGTCTACATGTATATAAACTAGACATGTCAGCAGACGTTTATGTCTACCTGTATATAAACTAGACATGTCAGTAGATGTTTATATCTACCTATATACAAACCAGACATGTCAGTAGACGTTTTTGTCTACCTGTATATAAACTAGACACGTAAGTAGACGTTTATGTCTACTTGTATATAAACAAGACATGTCACTAGATGTTTATGTCTACCTGTATATAAACTAGACATGTCAGTAGATGTTTATGTATACATGTATATAAACCAGACATGTCAGTAGATGTTTGTGTCTACCTGTATATAAACTAGACACTTCATTAGATGTCTGTGTCCACCTGTATATAAACTAGACATTTCAGTAGATGTTTGTGTGTACCTGTATATAAACTTGACATTTAAGTAGATGTTTATGTTTACCTGTATATACACCAGACATGTCAGTAGATGTTTGTGCCAACCGGTATATAAACTAGACATGTCAGTAGATGTTTATGTTCACCTGTATATAAACAAGACATATCAGTAGATGTTTATGTCTAAATGTATATAAACCAGACATGTCAGTAGACGTTTATGTCTACCTGTATACAAACTAGACGCTTCATTAGATGTTTGTGCCAACCGGTATATAAACTAGACATGTCAGTAGATGTTTATGTTCACCTGTATATAAACTAGACACTTCATTACATGTTTGTGTCTACCTGTATATAAACTAGACATGTCATTAGATGTTTGTGCCCACCTATATATAAACTAGACATGTCAGTAGATGTATGTGTCTACCTGTATATAACCTGTATATAAACTAGACATGTCCGTAGATGTTTATGTTCACCTGTATATAAACTAGACACTCCATTAGATGTTTGTGCCCACCTATATATAATCTAGACATGTCAGTAGATGTATGTGTCTACCTGTATATAACCTGTATATAAACTAGACACTTAATTACATGTTTGTGTCTACCTGTATATAAACTAGACATGTCAGTAGATGTTTGTGTCTCCCTGTATATATACTAGACATGTCATTAGATGTTTGTGCCCACCTTTATATAAACTAGACATTTAGGTAGATGTTTATGTTTACCTGTATATACACCAGACAGGTCAGTAGATGTTTATGTCTACCTGTATATAAACTAGACATGTCAGTAGATGTGTATGTCTACTTGCATACAAACTAGACACTTCATTAGATGTTTGTGCCAACCTGTATATAAAGTAGACATGTCAGTAGATGTTTATGTTAACCTGTATATAAACTAGACATGTCAGTAGATGTTTGTGTTAACCTGTATATAAACAAGACATGTCAGTAGATGTTTATGTTCACCTGTATATTAACAAGACATGTCAGTAGATGTTTATGTTTACCTGTATATAAACTAGACACTTCATTAGATGTTTGTGTCTACCTGTATTTAAACTAGACATGTCAGTAGATGTTTGTGCCCATCTGTATATAAACTAGACATTTCAGTAGATGTTTGTGTTCAGTAGATGTTTGTGTCTACCTGTATATAAACTAGACACTTCATTAGATGTTTATGTTCACCTGTATATTAACTAGACATTTTAGTAGATGTTTATGTTTACCTGTATATACACCAGGCATGTCACTAGATGTTTGTGTCTACCTGTATATAAACTAGACATGTCAGTAAACGTTTATTCTACCTGTATATAAACTATACACTTCATTAGATGTTTGTGCCCACCTGTAAATAAACTAGACATGTCAGTAGATGTTTAAATCTACCTGTAAATAAACTAGACATGTCAGTAGATGTTTGTGCCCACCTGTATATAAACTAGACATGTCAGTAGATGTTTGTGTTAACCTGTATATAAACTAGACATGTCAGTAGATGTTTGTGTTAACCTGTATATAAACTAGACATGTCAGTAGATGTTTACCTGTATATAAGCTAGCCATGTCAATAGATGTTTATGTTAACCTGTATATAAACTAGACATTTCAGTAGATGTTTATGTTTACCTGTATATAAGCTAGCCATGTCAATAGATGTTTATGTTAACCTGTATACAAACTAGACATTTCAGTAGATGTTTATGTTTACCTGTATATAAGCTAGCCATGTCAATAGATGTTTATGTTAACCTGTATATAAACTAGACATTTCAGTAGATTTTTATATCTACATGTATATAAACTAGACATGTCAGTAGATGTTTATATCTACATGTATATAAACTAGATATTTTAGTAGATGTTTATGTCTACCTGTATATAAACTAGACACTTCATTAGATGTTTGTGCCCACCTGTATATAAACTAGACACTTCATTAGATGTTTATGTCTACCTGTATATAAACTAGACACTTCATTAGATGTTTGTGCCCACCTGTATATAAACTAGACACTTCATTAGATGTTTAAATCTACCTGTAAATAAACTAGACATGTCAGTAGATGTTTATGTTCACCTGTATATAAACTAAACATGTCAGTAGATGTTTATCTCTACCTGTATATAAACTAGACATGTCAGTAGATGTTTATATCTACATGTATATAAACTAGATATTTTAGTAGATGTTTATGTCTACCTGCATATACACTAGACATTTCAGTAGATGTTTATGTCTACCTGTATACAAACTTATGTTAATCTGTATAATGTATAAACTAGACACTCCGGTTAATGTTTTTGTCTAACTGTATTATAATAGACTCAATGCCATTATATACTGTGTAATGAAAAGGCTAAATACTAAACTATGTGTTGTATCATGGATGAGGGGACATAACTCAAATAGTATTCCATGTTATTGAGGAATCGAGACGGTGTATGGGAAGGGAGCGTACTCTCCAATCCATTCTCGTTGTCACGTACATATGTACTCGTGATGTAAACATACGTAAACTTGACGTCGTCCTTGGTGTAAAGTTTAGGCAATGATAATATGTTGTCTGTCAAAGTTGTATCATTAAGATCAACACAAGTGTGTTATCTACAATTTCTTCTTCAAGTGAAGTTCGGCTATATTTTTAACTTGGTGTTGATTATGGCGACCAGAAAACATTGTCCCGACTGAAGAACACTATGCCCGTAATGCTTGTAAATGGTAGATATTGTCAGTATTGTTGAATATTTCAATAATTTCTTTCACTAGTTTTAATGCAGCTGATTAATTATTATTAAGCTCTGTACCGTTTACTCTTACGAGACTGGAAATAGCATCCCCTCATATCAAATTACATGCCTATTACCTAACAGAGACAGAACATTACCACATCGTGTTCCATCATCAATTCACTGATCATCATTAGTACTCAGCTTATCAAACCATTCAGGTGTTGGTTGATTGTTAACACTCGTTGTCTCGTCATCATTCTGATTACTCTAAGGGACAGATTTAAGCTAACAGGCTAAGTGACGTCACTGGTAACAAAAATAACAATTCCCTACAGTAAGGCTGGAGCAGGGAAGATTTGACATTGTTGTTGTATTTTGCGACGAAGACGATGCTTCCCAATGTCAACAAATATCAAGGGATGAAAACCTTATTATATGGGATATTCATTTCAATATAATAATTTCTGATACAGTGAACAGAAAAAAACGCCCCCCCCCCCTCAGTATTCTTTGAAAGGTGCATAATTTAAGCAAATAAGGTTTTGATGCAGTAGGTCAGTATAATGGTAGTCTTGTGTACGGCTGAAGAATGTGTGGGTAGTGTGTTTAAAGTGAGGTTGTTTATGTTGTTCATTTTCAGCACATCGTTTAATGCGTTTTGCATGTGACACGCCACCTAATGAAATTATTAACGATTTGTTTCCCCAGAGTGCTGGTTCTCAGACGCGCGTTTAAAAAGATGGATGCAGATGGTAGCGGCTTTCTGACGAGGGACGAAATCTTGAGAGCGGCGAGTGAAGACGCAGGATTAAATGTGACTGCAGAGAAAATCTCAGACATGTTGATAGCAGTCACCAACGACGCCGATAAAAAGGTTTTAAAAAGACGTATATGTATAATCCCTACATCAAAATAAAACATCATGAAGTTAGAGGCTGCTTCCCATACATGTACCACTTTGGCAAGACATGAACATAGCCTTATAGCTTGTATCAGAATTAACATAGCCTTATAGCTTGTATCAGAATTAGCATAGCCTTATACAATGTAGCTTGTATCAGAATTTACATAGCCTTATACAATGTAGCTTGTATCAGAATTTACATAGCCTTATACAATGTAGCTTGTATCAGAATTAACATAGCCTTATACAATGTAGCTTGTATCAGAATTTACATAGCCTTATACAATGTAGCTTGTATCAGAATTACCATAGCCTTATACAATGTAGCTTGTATCAGAATTACCATAGCCTTATACAATGTAGCTTGTATCAGAATTACCATAGCCTTATACAATGTAGCTTGTATCAGAATTACCATAGCCTTATACAATGTAGCTTGTATCAGAATTTACATAGCCTTATACAATGTAGCTTGTATCAGAATTTACATAGCCTTATACAATGTAGCTTGTATCAGAATTTACATAGCCTTATACAATGTAGCTTGTATCAGAATTTACATAGCCTTATACAATGTAGCTTGTATCAGAATTAACATAGCCTTATTGCTTGTACCAGAATTAACATAGCCTTATAGCTTGTATCAGAATTTACATAGCCTTATACAATGTAGCTTGTATCAGAATTAACATAGCCTTATTGCTTGTACCAGAATTAACATAGCCTTATAGCTTGTATCAGATTTAACATAGTCTTATACAATGTAGCTTGTATCAGAATTAACATAGCCTTATAGCTTGTATCAGAATTGACATAGCCTTATAGCTTGTATCAGAATTAACATAGCCTTATTGATTGTATCAGAATTAACATAGCCTTATTGCTTGTACCAGAATTAACATAGCCTTATAGCTTGTATCAGACTTAACATAGCCTTATAGCTTGTATCAGAATTAACATAGCCTTACACCTTGTATCAGAATTAACATAGCCTTATTGCTTGTATCAGAATGAACATAGCCTTATAGCTTGTATCAGAATTAACATAGCCTTATTGCTTGTATCAGAATTTACATAGCCTTATTGCTTGTATCAGAATGAACATAGCCTTATAGCTTGTATCAGAATTAGCATAGCCTTATAGCTTGTATCAGAATTTACATAGCCCTATACAATGTAGCTTGTATCAGAATTAGCATAGCCTTATACAATGTAGCTTGTATCAGAATTAACATAGCCTTATTGCTTGTATCAGAATGAACATAGCCTTATAGCTTGTATCAGATTTAACATAGCCTTATACAATGTAGCTTGTATCAGAATTTAAATAGCCTTATAGCTTGTATCAGAATTAACATAGCCTTATTGCTTGTATCAGAATTTACATAGCCTTATACAATGTAGCTTGTATCAGAATTAACAAAGCCTTATATAGCTTGGATCAGAATTACCATAGCTTTATAGCTTGTATCAGAATTAACATAGCCTTATTGCTTGTATCAGAATTATCATAGCCTTATAGCTTGTATCAGAATTAACATAGCCTGATATCTTGTATCAGAATTAACATAGCCTTATAGGTTGTATCAGAATTTAAATAGCCTTATAGCTTGTATCATAATTTACATAGCCCTATAGCTTGTATCAGAATTTACATCGCCTTATTGCTTGTATCAGAATTCACATAGCCTTATTGCTTGTATCAGAATTTAAATAGCCTTATATCTTGTATCAGAATTAACATAGCCTTATTGCTTGTATCAGAATTTACATAGCCGTATATATCTTGTATCAGAATTAACATAGCCTTATAGGTTGTATCAGAATTTAAATAGCCTTATAGCTTGTATCATAATTTACATAGCCCTATAGCTTGTATCAGAATTTACATCGCCTTATTGCTTGTATCAGAATTTACATAGCCTTATTGCTTGTATCAGAATTAACATAGCCTTATTCCTTGTATCAGAATTAACATAGCCTTATAGGTTGTATCAGAATTTAAATAGCCTTATAGCTTGTATCATAATTTACATAGCCCTATAGCTTGTATCAGAATTTACATCGCCTTATTGCTTGTATCAGAATTTACATAGCCTTATACAATGTAGCTGGTATCAGAATTTACATAGCCTTATACAATGCAGCTTGTATCAGAATTAACAAAGCCTTATATAGCTCGGATCAGAATTACCATAGCTTTATAGCTTGTATCAGAATTAACATAGCCTTATAGCTTGTATCAGAATTTAAATAGCCTTATAGCTTGTATCAGAATTTACATAGCCCTATAGCTTGTATCAGAATTTACATCGCCTTATTGCTTGTATCAGAATTTACATAGCCTTATTGCTTGTATCAGAATTTACATAGCCGTATATAGCTTGTATCAGAATTAACATAGCCTGATAGCTTGTATCAGAATTAACATAGCCTTATAGCTTGTATCAGAATTAGCATGCCTTATAGCTTGTATCAGAATTACCATAGCCTTTTATAGCTTGTATCAGAATTAACAAAGCCTTATATAGCTTGGATCAGAATTAACAAAGCCTTTTATAGCATGGATCAGAATTAGCATAGCCTTATATATAGCTTGTATCAGAATTAGCATAGCCTTATATAGCTTGTATCAGAATTAACATAGCCTTATATATATAGCTTGTATCAGAATTAGCATAGCCTTATAGCTTGTATCAAAATTATCAAAAAAATGCCGCAAGATGAATGTTGTTTGCGTACAGGCGGGGTTTTTATGACCAACACAGAGTTCTGAAGAGAATATTTAAGAAACGCAGTTGAACTGCTCTCTGTAATTTAGTGAACGTATAATAAAGGTTTCTATAAACAAAAAGAACCTTGTGTTTTAAACAAAGGTAGTTTCGAGTATGTGGCGCAAATAACAAATGATCTGGTACTTCTGATTTGAGTACTGTGTTTATCTGTGTAGTTGATCACCTTGCCAAATCATTTAGTTATTGAATTTAAAAAGTTGAATAAAGAACCGTTGCATCACATCTTGAAATGCCCCGGCTATTTGAAGGATAATGCATTACGCGATACACTATCGACACCATTGTCCGATTGAGAACACTTGCACTGGGTTAAGATAATACCTCCTTTCATATCAGACATCATAGTAAAATTAAAAAAAATGATAGGAAAGGGTGATAGTGAGATCTAAAAGTCAAACAAATATACTCGCTTATACATTCTACTATGAATAATAGTGATTTGGATGAATGGTTGTAGCTTTTAAAAAGAAAAACCAACATAGTTGTTGCACTGGTATGTTCTCCTAGATAAATGGTTATACGGCTCGGTGGATACTGAAAGAAGGCGTTGTTCTGTATCAATACAAACACTGGTATCAGTAAGTCGTCTCTTGTTTTTTTGGCTTTTCCCCTTACAAAATAAACGAGATCGAAGTACACATTCGTATGTACATGTAATACCACACATGTCCTTTACAGTCTACGCACTCAGAATCAAGACGTTACCTTTGTTATATCACCATAACCCTAACCCTAACCCTAACCTTTGTTATATCATCATAACCCTAACCCTAATCCTAACCTTTGTTATATCATCACGCTTTTCGGTTTTTATGATGGTTGTGTGACCAAATCTTGTCATTGAAGTTTAAACCAAAGGCATGGTCGCAGAATAGATTATAATTTAAAAGTGCGCTAAAAAATATGACGAGGCGAAAACATTTACATCATCACCACCCTTTACATCCTCGCGACCCTTTACATCATCACGACCCTTTACATCAGCATGACCATTTACATCATCACGACCCTTTACATCATCACCACCCTTTACATCATCACGACCCTTTACATTATCACCACCCTTTACATCAGCACCACTCTTTACATCATCACAAACCTTTACATCACCACGACCCTTTACATCATCACCACCTTTTACATCATCACCACCCTTTACATCAGCACCACCCCTTACAAAATCACCAACCTTTACATCCTCACCACCATTTACATCATCACCACCCTATACGTCATCAACACCCTTTACATCATCATCACCCTTTACATCATCACCAACCTTTACATCCTCACCACCATTTACATCATCACCACCCTATACGTCATCACCACCCTTTACATCACCACCACCATTTACAGAATCACCCCGTTACATCATCACGACCCTTTACATCATCACCACCCTTTACATCATCACCTCCCTTTACATCATCACCTCCCTTTACATTATCACCACCCTTTCCATCATCACCACCCTTTACATCATCACCACCCTTTACAGCATCAACACTCTTTCCATCATCACGACCCTTTACATCATCACCATCCTTTACAGCATCAACACCCTTTACATCATCCCCACTCTTTACATCATCACCACCCCTTACATCATCACCACCCTTTACATCATCCCCACCCTTTACATCATCACCACCCTTACCATCATCACCACCCTTTATAGCATCACCACCCTTTACATCATCACGACCCTTTACATTATCACCACCCTTTCCATCATCACCCCCCTTTACATCATCCCCACCCTTTACAGCATCAACACTCTTTCCATCATCAAGACCCTTTACATCATCACCACCCTTTACATTATCACCATCCTTTAAATTATCACCACCCTTTACATCATCACCACCCTTTACATCATCACCACCCTTTAATCATCACGACCCTTGACATCATCACCACCCTTAACATCATCACCACCCTTTACATCATCACCACCCTTTACATCATCACCACCCTTGACGTCATCACCAGCCTTTACATCATTATAACCCTTAACAACATCACCACCATTTATATCATCACAACCCTTTACACCATCACCATCTTTTACATCATCATGACAATTTACACCATCACCACCCTTTACATCATCATGACAATTTACATCATCACCTCCCTTTACATCATCACCTCCCTTTACATTATCACGAC